AACACAGAGGGAATGGCAGTTACGACATTACGGAAGAAGACTTGGACCAGGAATCTCAGTCAGGGTTCTTTTATGTATCTAATTTTCAGGCTTTTACTGCTTCATCAATTTATTTTTAATTCATTTATCATATATATAAATATATATATATATATATATATATATATATATAAATTATATATATGTTCTATATATATTCTTTCTTTTTTGGCAAATTCATTTTTATTTAATTATCATTCCAACGAATTTTAATTTTGTGATAATTTTTTTTTTCTGTTTATTTTCTCTCTTATTCATAAAAAAAAATCCTCTGCTGAAATTATTCGTCATCTGATATCCTTCATTTTTTTCTTCCAACAATAACAGCGACAAAAATAAATAAATAAATAAATCCTTCCTTATAATTCCTGATTCAAGTTAGTCACAGCATGAGAGGAGAATAACTGCCAATCACAAGCAGATCACGAATAATAACTGGAAAAGAGGTTTTAATAATATACACATTACAAGCGAACAAGGGAATAACTCTGCATTCTTTATTTTCGTACAGGCACTGGCGAAGAGAAGAGAGGAGAGAGAGATAATGATAAATAAAGGGGAAACAATAACCGACACACCCTCTCGGGTAACGGAAGGGAAGCTACAGGAATAACCATTTTCCTTAAAAAGATAAATAAATATATTACCTGACAAATTATATACGTTTTTTTATCGTTAATTTTTCCATTCCTCGATAATGGATTCCTCCTTTTGAAAAATATTGTGGTAGAAATAGAAGAAAAGAAGAAAAAGTCTCAAACTGTGCCAAAAGGAAAATGGTCATTATCAATACAGACTCACAACAAAGTATATATATATATATACATATATACATATGCATACCTATATATATATATATATATATATACATATATATAAATACTTATATATATATATATATATATATATATATATATATATATATATATATATATATGTATATGTATATATACTCTTAACAAGATTAGAGGAACACAACACGGAAATATATAACAGTCAGTAATCAGGCAAGACTGAGGGAGTTCGATCATTTACTGACACATAGAATTCATACGCCTCGGTGAAATGCGGAAATTGGATAGGGAATTCTCTTTCAGGATTTATGCGCAGGTAAAAAAGAGTCACGGTTAAACATATGCACGAAATATACTTGAAGGGCAGATAGGGTATTCAAATATTCATTGTGCTACAGAGAAGATGGGTGTCTATGACCAAGATTCAGATTAAGAAAGATGAGGAGGCAAGAAAAACATTAAAAAAGCCGTCACGTTTCTAAAAGAATCATTGTACCCTATGTCCTTGTATACCCTACTTTCAACAGCCAGTCTGAAGGATATTAATCTCTCTTTCGATACAGGGCATTGGAAACGAATTACATATGACAGTACCATTTTAGTTGCCTCTGGGACACAGTTTATAATAGATTTCAGCGAAATGCCACCTGCACAAAGCACTATTTCATTTCGTAATGGAATGTAATTGCTCTTTGTTTTGATTACAAAGCCACAGAATCATAAATTTGTTGTTGAAGTTTGAATAGACTTTTTTCTTTTCAATAGCGTGAGGGCGGAGGGGAGGGTGGGGGGGGAGATGTTTCCAATTTCTTCTTTCTAATTTGTTGATAGCTGTAGACTTCGGAAAAAAAAATGGTTAGAAATACATAGATTCATATATCTGTTTTACGAATTTGACAACCCATATTACATTGCTGCATCATTTTCAGAAATAAAAGGCGCTGTATTATTTTCCGTAAGCGACAAAGTTTCATAGTTTAGTGCCTCTTTGTAATCATTAATATCATTAGCAATATAATCAATGATATCATTAACATCGTTATCACCAGTATCAATAACATTACCATCGCAGTCATTATCATTATTAATAACTATACCATTGGACAAACACACAGACTAACGAGTAAGAAACAAAATCTAGTACAGCACTAAAAAACAATTATAAACATGGTAGTTCAACGTCAAAACTACTATTAATACTAAGATTATTTCTTTCTATTATTAACTAAAGCTTAATTACAGACATCTACATTATTATTTTTCTTTATCTTTATTACATACGACTGTTCAATGACACTGAAGACTGGCTCGCTACATCTTCCAAATTTTCTTCTGAAAGAAAGAGGTTTTAGGGATAAAGCATTTAGAAGGATAAAAGTGGATAATAGAGGATAAAATTGGAAATGGTTTAATAAAATGTTTACGAGTGGATAATTGAGAATAAGAATGGAAATGGGTTAATCAAACAGTTACGAGTGGATAAATCTGGACTACAGGGGAAAATATGGGAAATGGGTTTATATAAAAAGTAAATAAAAAGAGGACAGTAAGGGAAAAAAAAATAGAAATGAGTGAATTAAATGGATAAGAGTGAATACAAAGTCGACTACATAGGGAAAAAATGGAAATGGTTGAATAAATGGATACAAGTTGGGGGAAAAAAATGCACAAACTAAGGAAAAATGGATATCAAAGGATAAAATTGAAAATGGATCAATAAAATGGATACAAGTTGGTAAAAAGTTAACAATTATGGGGAATAAAAACTGGAAAATGGGTGAATGAAAAAAATACGCGTGAATAAAAGTGGACAATAGAGATAAAAAAGAAAGAAAAAAAAAAAAAAAATAGGTGAACAAAATGCATAGAAGGGGATAAAAGTGGATAATTGAGGAAAAGAGATAAGGAATGTGTTAATTAAAGGCATTCAAAGTGCATAGTAGAGGGTAATTAAGGGAATCGATTGGAAATATTTGAGTAAAATGGATAAAGGTGGACGAAAATAGGCTGAGGAAAAATAGAAATATGTGAATAAAACGGATAAAAATGGACAATATATAGGCATATATAAAAAAGTGAATGATAAAGTAGAGAGGTTAGATAGAAAATAGTTGATAAAGATGTGGATGAAAATGGATATGTAACAAGAGAAGAGTTTATTTATTTAACTAAACACTAAGGGGAAAGGAAAATACGTAAAAAGTCAAAGGATGAGAAAAATATCAAAATACCATATATATGTGTGAATACGCTGCACACCAAACAAAATCAAATGCCATTGGTATGAAAAAAGGTAAATGCAGTTTAGCTTTTACTATTACTGAAAAAACACCAATAACAACACCGAGGAAATGCTTTGGAAATGCGAGGATCTAGAGATGCACAAGAGAAATGCAAAGCTCGCTTACCGGTAAGCCCGAATAAATGACTAATTATACTATGTATATGTATGTGTATATGTACATATAAATGTACATAATATACATACCTATATATACACATACATAGATATACACATACATAGATATACACATATTAATAAATATATATATATATATGCATATGCATATATATATATATATATATATATATATATATATATATATATATATATATATATATATATATATATATATATATATATGTATGTATATATATACGTATATATATACATAGACATCTCTCTCTATATATATGTAAATAAATATACATATTTATATGCATACATGTATATATACATATACATATATATATATACCTACACTATGGGACCAAATATAGCAAGGGATATAGTCATTTCAGGATATGTATTACATTACATTAATTACGGAAAAAGAAAACATGTTATCCTATCGATTTCGTTCCAAAACAAGCTCCGTGATGCGATGCCGCTGAGACAATCTTTTTGGCCATCATTATAACTTTAAGATAGCTGAAAGGTGAAAAACAATCAGTAATGGGGTGAATATATTCCTTTGTGGTCTATCTCTGCGTGTTTTTTCGAGTTGTGCACGGGTGTGTTTGTCTGTGTCCGCGGGTGTGTGTGTTTGTGTGTTCGTGTGTGTGTGTGTGTGTGTGTGTGTGTGTGTGTGTGTGTGTGTGTGTGTGTGTGTGTGTGTGTGTGTGTGTGTGTGTGTGTGTGTGTGTGTGTGTGTGTGTGGGTGTGTGTGTGTGTGTTTGTCTGTGTCCGCGGGTGTGTGTGTGTTTGTGTGTGTGTCTTATGTTCGTGCGTGTGTGTGTTTATGCATGTTCGTGTGTGCATGTTTATGTATGTTCGTGTGTTTATGTTTATGGATATCCGTGTGGGTTTATGCTTATGTATGTCTGTATGTGTGTATGTTTATGTATGTTGGGAAATTTACGTATCTTCGTGTATCTGTATGTTTTACGTAAGTTCGTTTATTCATATTTATGTATGTGCCTACGTTTTATATATATACAGCGTGTTCATGTTGTATACATGTGTATGTAAATAAACGCATGTGTGTCATTATCCAACTCACTCCCACACGAATTTCTTATCTAAACCATACACATGTACACATTTCCATCTCTCTCTCTTGTATTCGCACAAGAGCCGCCTTACACATACACACACAGACGCCCCTCCTCCCCCCGAGCCAACCACCCCTCTCCCTGAAACGTACTAGTAGATATGGTGGCAGAGCGAGAGGGGAACTCCCTGCCGGTGGCGCTGACGCGGTGGTGGCTGATGGCGTCCAGGGAAGTCGCAGGCCGCATGGACGCGCGACTTCTACCGGACTCCTCGGCGAAGGAGCCCAGCTGAGGAGAGATAAGATATGAAAATGAAAAATAAAATTGTTAAATAATAGCTGAGGATATAATGATAAAAGAGGGATGGATAAAGATTGGGTAAATAATAGCCGAGGATATTTTTGAAAAATATTGAATAATAAACGGGTAAAGAATTCCTGAGGATATATTGACAAAAAGAAGAAAACTAACTGAGGATATCCTGATAAAAAAAATGAGAATGAGCGAATAAGGAGTAGATGAAGATATCCTACTAAAAATAATGGATATAAAATAGGCGAAGAAGGGAACATTTTAAATTTAAGAACTATTAGATGATGGTATAAAAGCTCACGAGGAAGGAAGTAAAAGAAAAGGAAGAGCAGAAAAAGATTAAAAAGAATAAGTAGAAGTGAAGAAATAAATAACAAAAAAGAGATGAGATAGATATGAAAAGACAGATGCAGATAGGATGGTAGATATGTCAGATAAATAGCTAGATAATCACAAAGAGAGAGAGAGAGAGAGAGAGAGAGAGAGAGGGAGAGAGAGAGAGACAGAGACAGAGAAAGAGAGAGAGAAAGAAACAAAAAAGAAACAAAGAGAAAGAGCTCAGAATATTAAAAAAAAAAAAAAAATCTTTAAAAAATCAAAGTGACAGCATCTCACCCGGTCAGACGCCTTTGAGGTAGTAGTTGCAACAGAGTCCTTCCTTGAAGCTGCTGAGTCCTTCCTTCTCCATATGGGCAAGGACGTCTTCCTGTCTTCGAGGAAGGCCTGGATGGAGGGACGACTCACGTGGAGGGCATCGAGGGTGGGCTGGAGGGGGGGGGGGGGAGAAAAAGAGGGAAGGAGGGGGGGTGAGGGAAGGAGGGGGGTGAGGGAAGGAGGGGGGGAGAGGGAAGGAGGAGAGTAGAAGAGGGAAGGAGGGGGGGTGAGGGAAGGAGGGAGGGATTGGTAAGGAAAGGAGGGGAAGAGTAGGGGAGGGAAAGAGGGTGAGTAGAGGTAAGGAGGTAAGGGAAGGAAGAAGGTGGGGAAGAGGAGGAAAAGTGGAGGGAAGGAGGGAATGAGGGGTAAGGAGGTAAGGGGAAGGAAGGAAAAGTGGGGAAGAGGAGGAAAGGGAAGAAGGGTAAGGAGCATAGAGGTAAGGGAAGGGAAAAGGGGATAGGCAAAGGGAGCGAATGAGGGAGGGAGGGAATACGCGAAGGAAAGGGGAGGTGGAAGAGATGAAAAAAAGAAGTGAGGGAGGGGGGGTGGTGAAGAAAAGGTAGGAGGGAAGAAAAGCATAATTATAAAACGGTAAAAGGTTTTCAATTAAGTACTTTTTTACACAATAGAAAGGAGATAACATGAACGTATGTGCGTGTGTGCGTGTGTGCGTGTACGTCTGCACTAATGTAGTGACGGGTTGATAAAGATGAAACGAAATAGTATTCAATAAATCTAATTCAAGACAAATAGTTATAATAAATATTTAAGATAACTGAATAAACAAGGTAGCTGTAAGTGATAATTCATATAGGTTGTTAAGTAAAACAACGGATAAAATTGATAAGAAATGACTGTAAATAAGGAAAGCAAAAAATGTTCTTTAAAAAAAAATAAAAAAAGAAAGAAAGAAAGAAAGAAACACGAAATAACAATGTAAAAAGAAAAGAAAAGAAAAAAAAGAAAAAAAAAAAAACGATAAGGAACGACTGTAAATAAGAAGAAAAAAAATCCTAAAAAAACGTAAAAGAAAGAAAGAAAAAAAATACATTTTATAGAAGCAACAATACAATTCCTATAAAGCAGAAAATGCAAGCGAAGTCATTACCAAGCGACAGTTTTCAGACTCGGCGACGGAAAGGCATGTGGTTTAATTAAATCCGGAGAAAAGGAGGAATGGAGAGATGGAAATGGAGAAGAAAACACAGCCATTCATACATACGCGCCTGTATATGTGTATCTTAACCCATAAAGAGGCGTGTGCGCGTCCGTGTGTCTGTGTACATAAAACAGGACTTATATGTACATATACACACATAGGTACATACAATCACTCACTCAAACACACACACAGATTATCTATCTATTTATCACATTCTCTCTTTCTATCTGTCAATCATACTCCCTCCCTCTCAACTTATCTTATCTATCTATCTATCTCCCTTCTCCTCTCTATCTATCTGCCTCCCTCTGTCTGTCTGTCTCCCCTGCGTCTCTCTGTTTCTCTCTCTTCTCTCCCCTCTCACTCCCTCTCTTCTCTCCCCTCTCACTCTCTCTCTCCTCTCCCCTCTCATTCTCTTTCTCCTCTCCCCTTTCACTCTCTCTCTCCCCTCACCTTTCACTCTCTCTCTTCTCTCCCCTCTCACTCTCTTTTTTATTCTCTCCTCTCCCTCTTCCCTCTCACTCTCTTTTTTATTCTCTCCTCTCCCTCTTCCCTCTCCCCTCTCACTCTCTTCCTAGTCTCCTATCTCACTCACTCTCTCTCCTCTCCCCTCTTTCTCTCTGTTGTTCTCCCTCCCCCTCACTCTCATTCTCTCTCCTCTCCCTTCTCACTCTCTCTTTCTCCTCCGCCTCCCCCTCTCCATCACTCTCCTCTCCCTCTTCCTCAAAATCACTCTCCTCTTTCCCCACTCACTCTCTCTCTTCCTCTCTCCTCTCCACCTCTCACTCTCTCTCTATCGCTCTCCCCTATCCCTTGTTACTCTCTCTCTATCACTCTCCCCTATCCCTTCTCACTCTCTTTCTTTCTCCCTCTTCCTCTCCCTCTCTCCATCTGCCTCTGTCAGCCATAAAGAATTCAGGATGTGAACCCCGTCAGAGTATCTTATAGCATTTTCTCCCCACGCCCTCGCCCATTATCCACGCCCATGATCGATTAATGAGCCGATAAGTTGGAAATTCAAGGTGGGCGGGGAAGGGGGGGAGGAGGGGGGGAGTGACCAGAAGCGAGTCAACAGAATAGGCGTAGTTAGTGCGTTTGTGCTTTTTATGGTATATGTATGTCTGTGTAGATGTATGTGTATGTGCAAATGCATGTGTATGTGTGCGTATGTATGTATAATTACATCTATGTATGTATGTATAATTATATCTATGTATGCATGTATGTGTATATATGTATATGCATGTGTATGAATATGTGTGAGTGTGTGTGTGTGTGTGTGTGTGTGTGTGTGTGTGTGTGTGTGTGAGAGAGAGAGAGAGAGAGAGAGAGAGAGAGAGAGAGAGAGAGAGAGAGAGAGAAATTGATAGATAGATATACATATATAAACATGTGTGTATATATACATATATATACACACATACATACATATATGTATAGACTACACACACACACACGTTTGTGTTTTGCGTGTATACCTTTATGTAAGCTAGCACACCACCCCTCCATCTATCCCTCCACATCTATCTAATTAATCATATATCTATCAATTTATCCCTTAATCTATCTATCTAATTAACCTTGCACATTAAGCTAGTCTATTGGCTAAACGACTTATTCACCTATTAATTAATGAGACTTCTTTACTCTTTCATTAATAAAACTTGTCTGGTGTAAGTGGCACAGTTCGTTAGGTAAGGCTCTGATCAGTCATGTATAACGTAAAATATATCCAGGGAAAAATGTATCATTTTAAAGAGAATTAGTGGATCATGATACAACATTATGGTGGCTGTGGTGGTGTTGTTCTGGTGGTGTTGTGGTGTTATTGTCGTTGCTGTTGTGGTGTTATTGTTGTCGTTGTTATGGTGGTGTCGTTGTTGTTGTTGTGGTGGTGGTTGTAATGATGGCGGTGGTGGTAGTTGTGGTTGTGATTGGGGTGCCAATTTTTTTTTTTTTTTGTTATTATCATCTTTATCATGGTTATTATTGTTATCGTCCTCATAATTATTTATGATTATTACTATGAAAAGCATTATTATCACTGCAATAATTGTATATTCATCTTTAGCAAAGGTAATGAGAACAAGCCGAGAGCAAGCGCGAGCAAGCCCAGCCGTACCTTATTGCCCGAGGCTGTGGCCGCCGGCGGGACGGGAGTGCCGGAGACGCCCGCGGCGGGAAGAGAGGCAGCTTCGGCAGGAGTCTTGACAGGAACAGCGAGAGCCGAGTCGTGCGAGGGGGCAGGAGGAGGAGAGGGACCCGTGGTCTGTCCCCCCTTCCCTTCGGCGCCCCCCTCTGAGGCGCTGAGGAGGGGCGTGGCTAGCAGCGGGTCGTTTTGGTCGCTGTCGTCCGGTTCTCTGGGGAGGGGGGGGTATTAGTATTAGTATTAATGATATCAGTATTAATAGTGTTATTAGTTGAAATATAGTTTTCCAATCCATATTCGTAAAGTTACCGATTTTTTTCATTATCAACATCATTATTAGTAGTATCCTTTTCATTGTTTATTATTTTTATCATTAAATTCATTATCATTATTAATATCATCTTCATCGCCATCAGCAGCATCACTAACACACACACACACACACACACACACACAAACAAACACACACAAACAAACACACACACACACACACACACACAAACAAACACAAACAAACACACACACAATCAACATATATATATATATATATATATATATATATATATATATATATATATAAAATCATATTTACTACCATGAAAGAATCAAGAAGAACATGACGTGTCTTCCCCTCCGCTGTACACAAAATAACTAAAGAAAACACAATACACAAGAAAGCAAAGCACACAAGATTCGTCTCTTACGCGCCACCAAGAGAAACAAACCCCCTAAAACAAGCAACAAGAACCGAAGTTCCTCCTAATAGCGCCATGAAGGATCAACTCAGCCTTTCCATTACCTTAATTAAATTCCATTTTTTATAATCATTCCTGGGGGGGTAAGGGGTAGGGGGGGGGGAGAGAGAGAGGATGTCATGACGCTTGTTATGCCACTTGTCCGTTAACACGTAAAAGACAGGCGTGGTTTTATTTTATACGTTGATGTTATATAGAACTCACGAGTAGATTTTTAGCTTTTGTTAAATTGTGGAAAAATAGATATATCGGTGACAAGTAATAAATGGTTGTAAAATAAGTCAGAATAGAGGAAAGAAAAGGGGAAAAGAATAACCGAAAACTGAAAAGGAAAGAGAAAAGAACAAGAGGAAAATGACAGAAGGAGAGCGGGAACTGTAAGAAATGAAGGAACCAGGAAGGTAAAGGAGAGGGAAGAGAAGGAAAGAGGAAGAAAGGGGGAATGTTGAAAGAGGGAGAGAAACAGACAACAGAGGGAATTATGAAAATAAAAGGATGGTAAAAAGAGAATGGAAAAGCTATATTGGGCAAAACAAAACAAACACATCACGTTGCATTAGAAATTCGAAAAAAAAATAGAACAGAGGAAACAGAAAGACACAAATAATTACATATAGAAATACAAAGACAGCAATACGGA